CATTTATAGAATCCACTGAGAAATTCTACAATGCAGGTCTGGAGAAAGTTAACTTCAAACAAGCTTCAGAAGATTCTAGAAGACATATAAATGCCTGGGTAGAAGAAAAAACTTCAGGTGAGAATGATAATAAGAGTTAATTAGTAGCTGCATTCAGTAACACATGCAATGTTGTGTGTGCATGTGAGAGAAACAGACAAGGCAGGCAAACCCACCATAGTTAACCATTACTTGCTACATTGAAGCCCATCAAACCTGAGAGGAAATTCTAGCCAAGAATAGATTTTTGGTTTTATCACTGGACACATCTGAGCAGATTTCAGTTATTTAACTTGCCTGTTGTTTAACTTGTGTGTGTTTGTGTGTGGCAACCTTACTAAATAATGATATAAGATGGACAATTATATAAATGTTAAGGGTAGGAGGGAGGGAGGTTGGACTGGCCCTAAGGAAGCAAAAGCTATATTCCATCTTAAGTCAGAAGAACTCTCTTTGAGCCCCTGAAGAGAGAAATCTAATTATTAAATTGAAATTATGAGAGACAGAAAAAGAGAGAAAGAGAGAGAGGTGTTAAAAAATAATGCATCTTATGTATCAATTAAAGCAGTTTAAAAAAAAAAAAAACTTTCAAAGGAAAAATTCAGGATCTGCTTGGCCCAGGAATAATTGATTCGCGTACAAAACTGGTTTCGTTGAATGCTATCTATTTCAAGGGAAACTGGGCAGATAAATTCAACAAAGATCACACATCGGAAAAGCCATTCTGGATTAACAAGGTATTTATTTATTAACACAGTAAAAAAGACATCCTGAGTATTTTAAATCGTGTTATTTTGTATACCTCTGAGGTAAGCCTGAAATTAATTTGAAACATTCCTATAGCAAAGAAATTGCTTCCTCCATACATTTTATTAATCTTCATGGAAATGGGTGAATCATGAATATCTTGAGTCCTTCAGAGTTTGTGTGTAGACATTCAGACTTTTCAGTCACTGAAACTTTGCACAGGGATTTCTAGTTCAGCACCACTCCCACTAATTCTATGTGATTAACCACAATAATTACAGAGGGATTAATGAATATATTTGGTGTGTGTGTACGGATCTATTATGTATTTGTTTTCGTAGATTTTCACGGGTACAGGTATGCAGGTCTTGGCGTGTTTGGGTCTTTTCCCGTGTAAGATTGAGAGTATCTTGGCGACATTTCAATGAGGTCCCACTCACCATCTTCAGGCTGGTGCTTTCGGCTTTGTGCTTGTGCGAGCAAAATGTGATAGGAGCTGCCGTCTCTCTATAAATACTGGGGGGAGGTGTTGTGTGCTGGCTCTGTTGTAAGCGGGCTGGTTGGCTGTGTTGTTATTTCTTGATTGGTTGATGGAGTTGATTTTTGCAGTTTGGTTGGCTTTTTTGTAAGAACCTGTGTGGCTGAGGTACTGGCTGTGTGTCTATCAGCCTCCTGTGTTGTAATGACCTTGCTGTGTGTTTACCTTCTGAGTTCTATCATTGTGATCTCCTAGGTCTTGTGCTGTAATCTCCTGGGTCATTGGCTGTGTTGTAACATCCTGAGGTTTTGTGGTGTAACCTCCTGAGTTCCGTGATGTGATATCCTGAGCGAGTGGCTGTGATGTAACGTTCTGGGTTTTGGTTTGGCTCCGAGTTTGAGGTCTGGCTATGTGTTCATGGCATGTGTCAGTTTGTTTAGTTTGGGGGTTGGGGTGTGTGGCAGCTGGTGATGCAGCCATGGTTTGGTTTCTGGACAGTGGTTGCCTTTTGTCTATGGGATGGGTTTGGGTTTGAATCTGGTAAGGGAGATTGGTGGTGGTGTCATGTGTTGTTTTGGGTCCAGTGTTGGCTTTCGTGGCTGGGACTCATTTGTTGATAAGGGCTAGTTTCCAGATGTCTGGTAGGCGAGAGGTATCATCCTGTTTATTCATGTTATGGGGGTGTTCCTCTATTTCGATAGCTTCCCTGATTATTCTCTTGTTGAAGTGTTCAGTATTGGAGATTAATTTGGTTCCCTCAAAATTAATTTCATGTCTTGTGGCTTTAAGGTGCTGGAAAAGGGAGGAAGTATTTTCTTCTTTTCTGACTGCGTTCTTGTGTTCTGCGATGCGTGCATTTATTCTTCTGTTGGTTTGTCCAATGTATGCGGCTGGGCAATTGTTGCCTGGTATTTCATAAACTCCTTGGTTTTCTAGCTGGATCTTGTCCTTGGGGTTTCTTAGCATGTTGGCTATTTTTTGGTCAGTGCCGAAGGCTGTCCTGATATTGTGTTTGTGGAGAATTTTGCTGATTTTATCTGTGGTGCCTTTGATGTAGGGGAAGAAGGCGATACCATTGTCCTGTTCTGTGTCTCGGTTTTTGGGGGGTGTCTCCCTTAGGATTAGGTTGGTAATTGTGTTTCTTTAGAATCCGTTGGAAATTAATACGTTAGTGAGGGTGTGTAATTCTGTTCTCAGGTGGTCTTTGTTGGCTAGGCGTTTGGTTCTGGAGATGAGGGTCTTGGCCACGGAGTTGATCTGTGCAGGGTGGTGATGGGATTGCGCGTTTAAGTAGCGGTTGGTGTGTGTTTTCTTCCGGTGAATGGTGTGTCCTAGTAGCCATTGGGTATTATGTATTATCACCTGGGAGTATTTGATGGAGGAGGAACAGGCACAATATCTTTCTGTGTTGCTGTCCACAAAGAAGGTTAGTTTTGATATTATAAACATTTGTTCATTTGAGGAAACTGCTGATTAAAACCACTGACCTGTGCTTCATTGCATTCTTTTGCTCACATAATTAATATTTCATCTTTCTAAAAGTCATAATTTTTGTCTGTTTTTTAAAACCTAATTCTTAATATTCTAAAATTATTCAAATCTGCAAAAAGCAAATTATCACGATGTATAAAGACTGGAAAATATGATGGATGGCTGAGACATGATAAATGCTTATATAAATGCTCAGTTTGGTTTAAAAAATCAAAGCAAAAGATGAAAGATTTAAGCAGAGGGGGGGAAAGCCCTAGGGCTAAATACATGATAGAATTATTTGTATTTCCTATTTATTTGTAAGATTTCTTCAAACATACATTTTCCCCACTTGTAGAATGAAAGCAAAACAGTGCAGATGATGTTCAAGAAAGCAAAATATAATATGGCCCACATTTCAGCTTATCAGACTTCTGTTCTTGAGATTCCATGTGTTGGTAATGAGTTGAGCATGATCATTCTGCTCCCTGATGAGATTGCAGATAACTCTACTGGATTGGAGAAGGTGAGTTTTTCTTTCATGAAACAGTATTTAAGCCCTTGACCTTCTGAAACCCCCTCTGATACTAACTGTACACTCTCTTTTTTAATACTGAACCTTGGCTTTCTGGAATTACAGTCAGTACCATTGGGTTGACTTGTATTTTCCCTTATTTTGAAAAGATGCAAAAAGAAACCCAACCCCAAACTCTAAAGAACACCAGTGAATGCATTTGTATTTCAAAGTATTGTATACACAGGGTGATTCCATCAGTAGCTGATGTGTACGAGGCAGTTGATAAGGTTGCCAATAATGTACGGTATTTCTTCTGACATTACTAAGATGTACGTGATTCAGTTTTTGATTCTTCAATTTACACTGTTTCACGTTGAAATAGCTACCAAGATTCATAGCTTGAAGGAAAGAATAAAGCAGTTCATATAGCTGAGGAATTGTTTGTGTGGGTTTGTGCCTTCAAGTAAGGTTTTGTCAACTGTCAGGACAAATCCAAGTAGTTTATTTGGCAACGTTTTCAGAAGTTGCTTGCCCTTGCCTGCTTCCTAGGGCTAAGAGAGTATGACTGGCCCCAAATCACCAAATCTAGTCATTCATATCGAAGTGATGATTTATAACCCAGTGCTATTAACCATTATACAAAACTATGTCTCGTTATTTACTTTTCTTTTAGCATTTCTTTTAGTTTTTAGCATAATTGTAAATTATTGGGTTTTCTGGAATAAAATTGGTATAAAATTTAATACAAACATGAATAAATTATAAAAATATTTCTTAACAGCATGCAAGTTTTCTCTGATACAATATATATATATATATTTATCTGTGCTGTTGGGTAAATAATTTTAAAAGTAGTGACTTTGCCAGGTGGATTTGGCTTATATTCCACATGTTTGTTAAAGAATGTGATTGAGTTAGAAATTGGTATACTTTGAATATAAAGCTATATTTATATTCCTCCCTTTTCTGCTGGGTCCAAGAGGTCTACACTATTTTTGTGACTTAATTATCTTTCCTAATGTTCTAGGAAACACAAGAATTTGCAACTGTGTATTATTTCAGGATTTTTCTGTCATTGTTAACACCTGCATCATACTTGTGTGGGTATCAGGATAAGTCATAATGTCATATAACCAGGAATTTATTTCTCCTTTAATGCTTTTCATCTTCTTTTAGCTGGAGAGAGAAATTACATATGAGAAACTCATGGAATGGATCAGCCCAAAGAAGATGTTCCCAAGAGAAATTGAACTCTCCTTTCCCAAATTTAAATTGGGAGAAAAATATGATCTGAAGCCTGTTCTGAGAAGCATGGGAATGACGGACGCATTTGATGAGGGCAAGGCAGACTTCTCCGGAATGTCAACTAACAAAGATTTAGCCCTATCTGAAGTTGTTCACAAAGCATTCATAGAAGTCAATGAAGAAGGCACTGAAGCAGCTGCTGCCACTGGTGTAATAACGGTATTTAAGAGTGCACAGCGTCCATTAGAATTAAATGCTGACCATCCCTTCCTCTTTTTTATTACCCAACAATCTACAAACAGCATCCTGTTCTTTGGTAGATATTCCTCTCCATAATGGGTGCATCCAGCATATGTTGGTACAATGGCTCAGACCCTTAATTCCTCATCAGATTTGTTTAAACCACATGATACTGAACTTTCACTATCACACTTATAAACTTCTCTGTAATTAGGGTAGAGAGAGTTCCTTTATAATAGTCCACAATGCTGGATTTTAATTCTCTCTTTCCAGAATTATTTTTAATCAATTCAAGAAAATAAGTTTTTAGTACAAGAGTTCTGATTGGTAGATAAATCCCGCAAAATTGGTTTGCTTATATAGGAATGTGGGCTGTGGGCAGAAGCTGTTAAACATGAATCAAATGTATTACAACACAGATGTAACTATGTATTTGTCCAGTATACATTGCCATGTGATGATACAAGTACAGTCAGCTCAGCTTCCATTGGGACATCATGTTTTATCATTTGAATGACGTCATGACTAGTTGTAGATGCCTCTGATAAGCTTATAATGGCAAATGTACACAGTGCTAGAATGAGGACACGTACATATTTTTTGTGATCATCGTTTAAACAAATTTGATTTTATGTAACTCAAATATCTACAAATGATATTTACCATATATACTTTAATTCTTATTTTGCTGCAGTCTTTCATGTAATCAAAATTGAAATAAAAGAGCATTTGATTATATTGGTTTCATATTTATCAACAGCTGATATAGTGATAGACTCTTTACATCAGGAGTCCCCAAGGCCTGGTCTGTAGCCCCGTACCAGTCTATGGTCCGTTGGGAATTGGGCCCCGCAAATGGAGGATGAGCATACAAAGCTTTATTTGAACAGGATTAGAATAGACATGAACGGGATTAGATTGAGACACAAACCTTTCCCTTCCCCCCCCCACCACCACCAAATCCATGTGGTCAAAAGGTGGGGACCGCTGCTTTATATTACTTAGCTCTCATGTCTCTGAAATTCATCTATTACACCCAAATTGTATTTTGGGTAGTCCTTGTCTGTAATCAAGCGCAGAATTACAGTCTTATGTTTTTGCGCTCATAAGTTGAGATATCATGTGACCAGGTTCTATGGTATGATAGTTATTATGATGGTCATTAAGTGAACATATGGTTGTTAAGGAAATCCATTTTCCCCAATGGGCATTTTTTTTGCTGGAAACTGAAAATGAAAGCTGGCAAACAAAAAAGTTGCAAATTGTGGTCATGGGATGATGGGATGCTGCAAAGAGCAATAAAGGTGAGTCAGTTGCCAAGTGCCCAAAATATAATCACATGTTCACAAGATCTGTGCCTGGCTACCTTAACTCTGAAACCACATGATAAGTAGCTCTGGTGAGGACATTGTAACTTCATTCACTGGCCAGTTGGAAGTCAATGATGACCACTAGGTTTGGGTGTAATTGATGAATTTAGGGTAAAAATTATGTATTGGATTAATAGGATGGAATGGATATCCATTTGAGCCAAATGTCCATCAAATTAAATTAATTATTTTAATAATGAATATGGCAAGGTGGATAAAAAGGCTGGCGGGTGTTGCTTTCCCTCTCTCTCCAACACAGCATGGCAAATCCCACTGATCCATCTATCAAATCTTCTAAGTGCAGAAACTTCAAAAAACCCTATTAGAAACTGTGATTGAATGAATTCTTTAAAAAAAGCCAAAGAGGAACCAATAAGCACTATACATCCAGTTAACAGAATAAAATCTGGTAGAAGAACCAGCAATGTAAAAGTAATGAGACATAGTAATGTGTTATGTCTCACCTGTACAAAGGAGGTGAGAAGTCCAAACTTCCACTGAATACAAACAGGCAAGCAAATCCAGCAATTATAGAGTTAACTCCTTTGAGCCGATAATGTTCTTGGCAGTCTCACACACACTGTTTGCCAAGTCCGACCAGATAAGAGGAATATAAATCACACAAGCTGCCACAACACAGAATACACACCAAAGCTTCTCTGAATAAGTAACACGTTGTCCCGAACAAGTTCCCAGAGTGAACACACCCACTTTTAATCCCTGTGGGGCGTGTCAGTCCCTCAGCTCAGTCTCTGATTCGTCCCTTCTTTCTGCGTTGCAGCTCGCACTTTTGCCTGCGACGTTGCCTCGCATCAAGCCAGCATTCCTCTGCTTGATTCTCAGAGACTCTGATACGCCCTCCTCCTTTTCCTGATTAGCCTCAGGTCTTCCCTCCCGGTTATCTGCCGACACCTGAGGCACAATCAGGAAGGAAGGCATTACCGAAGAGGAAGGTCCTGGGGAGGAAGGCATTTCCAAATCCTCCTCTTCCCCATTGTCCGAGTCTTCGTCCTCTAATAAAGCAGGCTCAAACCTCAGAGCCACAAGAGTAATGTATTAAGAATGTGAGAGATGGATTATCACTTTTGCTGGTAACATTACCTACTGCTGCCATATTCACCATCCCACAAAAGTTTTCTTTCTTCTAGGCGGTAGAAGGCGTTCTGTCCCATGTAAAGGGAATGAGCTGAAGTGACTTGGAAATTTTGCAAAAAGCCTAAACATTCACAATATAGCAGGGGACACTTTATTAGTAGTAATTAAAAAATGAATTATTACCTAGTAGTGAAACTGCAGAATAACTAGATTCCTTATAATGTAAGATGAGGAATCAGATTGTTGGGGCCAATATGCTGACTTTGTAAATATGCTGACTTTGTAAATATGCTTCTTTGCTTAGAACGTGTATGAAGTGGTATATACTGTAAGTCTAAGTGCTATTGCTATTAAAATCCACACGATTTCCTTAACTGCAGCTATTCACTTAACAATCTGGTAAAAGAAGACATAAATAAAATGCAACTCAATTTATCTGCCTTCCTTAACAACAGAAATTCTAGACCTAATTGAGGTTGTAAATCAAGGACTATCTACAATATATGCTGGCTTCCCCTACTGTGGACTCCCCCTCATTTATATACTGTAAATAACTCAAAGCAGCAAATATATCTAATATTTTTCCCTCCCACTTTTAGCAATCTGATATGATTGACAGCCATTTTACCCTCACACATAGGTTATACATATTTTTTTAATGTTTATTATTCTTAACAAGCAGATGATAATACAGTACATTTTTAAAAGATGAAATGTAAATAAGATCCAAACCCAGAGAAGCATAGCTAGGAAAATCGAAGTTTCTGGATTAAAATAAAAAGTGTTTAGAGAGTAAGTGAACAAACATTTTAAGCCAGATGTTCCTTAAATTTGGATACTGTTTACATAATTTACATCAAATATTATGTACTGCCATTAAGAAGAAAAGACATTGTGGATTTATCTTTCTAGTAATTATTCTTACACCTTTGTTGTCAGCCTGGAAGCCATATTTTACTTGGAAGCTTGGAGGCTGCCACATTTAGTGCTTGGGAATTTGGTAGGGGGAATTTCATAGAGAGAGGCAGAAGATTAGACTCAACAACATTCTTTTACAGAGTCAAGGCCAAGTGAGCCTGCACCTGGAGAGGAGTGTTTGGAGGAAGGTCTCCAGTTGGGACAATATTTGATTGAACCATGTGATGGACTGGGGGGTGTAGAGGAGGGATTTTTGATTTTCGTTTGAGAAGGGAGAACCTGGAACTCTCAGACTGGGGTTATCCCAGATGTGCCAATATGACAACTCTAATAAAATGGAACTTTGAGAAAATGCTTGTCTTGGAGTTTACAGAACTGAAAAAGTTTCTTGGATGAGAAGCGAAACATCTTCAAGCAAAAACAAAGCCCAGTTGCCTTTTGAAAAGGCACCTTTGGGGCATGTTAAGGATATTATGGGATGCTGTGGTATTCTATATGCTACATATTAGAGTTACGGAGCATGTGTGTTCCATCAGAGATATGTCAAATGACATTAACCAATGAAAGAACTCACTCAAAACTCAATATTTTTGAATTGTATATAAAGTGATTCTCTACCTTTCTAAGCTGCTCCTCTCTTGGATGAGGTGCCCTCTTTGCTTGTGTATATAAATAAAGTATAGAGTCTACCTTTCTGCCTTAGGTTCTGTTTGTGCCAGGCACACCATGCTAATGGATCTGCTGAAATTTATGGCTAACATATGCAGCATGTGCTGTTACTTGTCTAAGTCAGTTGTGAGATTCATTTTTTTTACTAGTGGTTCTGTGGGTGTGGTTGGGTGGGCATGGCAGAAGAATGATACTGTAAAATCTCCAGTCAAGGTGGTATTTACGGGTTTTCCGAACTACTCAAAATTTCCGCTACTGGTTCTCCAGAACTGGACGGAACCTGCTGAATACCACCTCAGGTCTACGTGCATCTGAGCATAAGAGTAGGCTGGTGACTTGAGGGTACAAATCAAGAGTGGTCAGGGGTCCTAGCTGGATGGCAGGTCTCTTCCAGTGACTATCTTATCTGAGTCATAGGCACCATTAAAATCAGCAACCCATTGCATGGCTGAGTCCAGCAAGGAGTAGCCATGGCCACTGGCCCTGAATACATCCCAAGACATTATTTTTATATTTTTCTGCACGCATTTCACAAAACTTACTTCCTTATTCCTGCTTACTGACAGACAGTCTCCACATATACCCGTGTACATCTCAAACCTCTATCCCTCAGATACTTATAGTTCCTGATTTCTTATGGTGGTTTCATCCTTCTATGTCCAAATATATTTATAAAGCTACATACTTTACAAAATCATGTCTCACAATTAGCAACGGCTCAGCAGGATTACAAATTTTCTGGTACATTTTGAAATCATCCTATCTAAAATTTTGTTTCATGTCTCTTTATTCTGGGGCCTGCTATCATCCAACGGCCTTGTTGAATTTGATAGATCAATAGCTTATATTTTTGTTTCCCACACAGGAAAGGAATAGTTCTGAAAATCCTCTATCTTTCTTGCCTGTCAGTCAAATTGGTTTACAAAGAATTTCAATGACTAGGACTTTCAAACATGTGCAGTAAAGTCAGGTCAAGCTAAGCTTTTAGGGAGGGGTGGGGTTCAAAAATTTTAGCAAGAGGTTCTCTGCCCGGTTGCTCGGTGGGCATGGCCATGGTGGGGGTGGCCTAGTCAGCTTCCTGCCCCACGGTGGGGGCGTTAGTTTTGCCCTCCCTGGACTCCAGAGGCTTTTCTCGAGCCTCTGGGAGGGCAAAAACAGTCTCCCTGGGCTCCGGAAGCTCTCTGGGAGCTGGAAATGGGCCCATTTCCGGCCTTCCCGAACTTCTGGGAGACCCATTTTGCACCCTCCCCGAGCCTCTGCACAGGTCCTGCACTTACCTGGAATCCAAAACAGGCCATGTGGGGACTCCAGGGATGGCGGGGCGGGTGTGGCCAGCCAGGAGTGGGATTTGGGGGTTCTCCAAATTGTGCAGCATATTAACTAGAGGGTCTCCTGAACCTCTGCAAACTTCCAGCAGCCCACCCCTGCTTTTAGGGACTTTATGGATATCCGTTCTGTATTAGTTTCCTTGGCAACATTATGGAATCAGTTACCTTTAAGGAAGGGTTGTTTTTTTAAAAAAAAAATCAGCCTCCTCTATAAGCTGAATTTAAAGATGGAGAGATTCACCAAAGATTCAAGAAACTTATTTGTGATATCAACAAACCGCCTGCCAATTATAGCCTCAGTCTAGTCAATCAGCTCTTTTGAAAAACATCAGATGATTTTT